TAGAGAGGGCAGCTGGAGCAGATAAACAGCTTTAGCTGTCATACTGTTGGGAGGCTGGTGTTACAAATCTCTCAATCCTGGCAGGTGTTTTAGGATGATTTGTTCATGCCCAGATGTGAGATCAGAATGAGGGGAGTTTCTACCATCAAGCATCAGACTCTTAGAACACAAATAAAAGATCAGATTTAAAGGTGTTTTAATTAGTTACTACATGGTGAAGAAAGCATGCTACACTTGTAAATCATCACAAGAGTCTGTATTTAGGTGTTGCTTAGGATTGCTCAGTGTGTCATTGATATATAGCTCTTGTTTAACAGAGTGTCAGGCTATTGCAGACTAATGTGTTAGTGACTAACCTGTCAGTGTCTTGGAAAAGGCATATCCTACAAAGCCATCAGAACATTTGGAGATGGGTATAAAAAAACTGAGAACAGAGGTAGAATAGCAACTTCAAAACAGAGCTTCCTTTTGTGGTCTTTCTAGGAATATAAATTATTTATTCCTAAAGAATGCAGGAAGATGTATCCATTTTGTTATTTGTCATTAAACCAGTTCAGTATCTGTTCTTCTGGTTCATTTTTTCCAATATGTCCCTGTTCTGCTATTCTGTGTTGTGTGACATAACTTAATATAAGCTGCACCTTGATGTAAGATAGGCTATTTGTAGAATAATTAGTCATAAGGATCTAATTTCTGTTTTATGTATTTGAAATTGATGCCAAAAACCTCAGAAGAACTGCTCAGAGACTTTGCACCTTTAAGCAGCAAGGCATTTGGTTTATTGCAATGTTGGGAGCAAGGCAGTTCGCACTGCACAAACTGGCTTGACCCAAAAGTGCAAAAGAAACCACTTTATACATTTTAGATACACAGTTACACCTTCTAGCACGCATATTACTAGCTAGGCGGAGTCCAGGCCGAGTCTAGGCAGAGCTTTCAGGAATCTTCTTTTGGTTCAAATTTTGGGTGGTCTTCTCATGCTTCAGTCTCCTGGTCGTATATGTGATAAGTATGAGGCTATAAATTTAGGTTGCAAGGAACAAAGATTTATTAATGCCACAAACAAGCAAAAACAGCTAGCCGGGCGACCGGAGGAAACTCCTGTTCCTACCGTGGTCCGCAAAGGGGAACAGAAACAGCACTTATTATACCCTTCTTTGCCACCTCCCCCCCCCAGTGTCATGTCATCAGTTCATTGGTGGTGATTTCGCGGGCTGAATCCTGTTTGGTTCCTCCTTGGCGGGCTGACTCCAGGTTGGTTCCTCCTTTCGCGGGCTATGTCCGTTGCTAAGGAGCATCCACCAATAGTTTTAAAGTCATTAGTCTCTACTAGGCCGTGATGCTGGAAGTTTCCATCGGGATGACGGTTGGTCAGCCTGATTCCTCGTGGTTGACCCCCTCTTGTTTGTCTCCATATTGCTCTCTATTAATATGCTCAGAACAAACACTTTCAAAACAGCAAGAGATAATATGCCAAATCATCATTGCGTTGTGGTCTGTTAGTTCGCAGCTTACTAATCTTGTCGTTAGGCATTGCATAACACTTAAACTTGTGATTACAACAAAGCACTTAATATAATTTAATAACTCTATTAACTCTTCCCATTCTGAACAGCAAATTTACTCTATGATCACTTATAACAGTATACAAGAGTCTTCATCAGCTGAACTTTTCAACTTTCATTGTTAGGTGACCTAGATTCTTCAAGCTTGCAAAATTCTGACTCTCAGCCTCCTATGTCTAAACATCTGGTTTAAACCTGATTTATTACCTGGTGGTCTATTATATACTGCTCCTTATCATTCTTTCTATGATGAGACTTTGGTCCGGTAAGCAGGACAGAACAAGACATTAAGCAGTGTTCCTACAATGTTCTAGCAAAACAGGCAGAACAAACATTAGGCAATACCTTCTTCTGGCTCAGTAGGGCAAGGTGTTTTACCAACTAAGCCATCATTAACTCCTTTTGTGCTTTTCTCTGCCGTCAAAATATAAATATTTGTCCTGTCATAAGGCTTTAAGGTTAAAGATCCCATGCCTTTTTCTCTTCTGTACCTCTAGACACGTTTGGAACAAATGGATGTGTTATTTAACATTTGATAGACAACTCTGAGCTATAAACATCCTGTGTAACAAGTCTGATAATGCGGAGCAGGGGAAAAAGCTTTGCAAGAAGGAATGGTCTTTTATCAGGCCATTGCAGGAGTAAAACACCAGTCAGTTTTCCCTGCCCCTGAAAAACAGGAATCATGACTTCTTTCATTAAGTTAGACTAGGTCAAAGTTTGTCTGCTAGGTGATTGCATTACAGGCTTTACTTACCAGTCTTAGTTATTGCTGTGTGTATCCAGATCCCATTAAGTCTAGGTGCCAAGTACAGTAGAGAGAAATACTGTGCAGTTTCAATCACTGGTCTGAGTTTACTTGTAGGAGGAGTCAGTGGAAAAATGTCAATTCTACAAAAGCAAAATGTATTGTAGGACGGTAATATTTTCTTTCAACACTTTGGATAGGATTTAAAAAGAAAAGTTGGCCTAGGGAATGTAATTCAGGTAGCTAGGATCAATAGATAATAGAACCCCCAAATCAAAGCATTCCATCATTTCTGTGGACTCACAGTATGAGGGGGCAGTGAAGAGTTACTCTTCCTCTCCCATTTCAGCTCCCTCCATTTCAATTTTGCTGTATGGTAATGCTTTTTAAACTTTTGGCATTTCCTAGGCAACAAACATTACCTTTTTGGTTATCTCTGGATGTTGATTAGCTTCATTCTAGTTTATGTTCCTCATTTGCCCAGGGACTTTGGAGTGGTGATTGCTCTGAAGGTCGGTATGCTCAGGGTGCTTAGAAGCTATTCCTAAACTCTTCCCAGACTTGCCTCTGGTGTTTTAGTAAGCCTGTGATTGTAATTTAAAGTTGCAGAGGTTGGAACATTAATATTTTACGTATTCTATGATACATTAAAGTGCTTTAGGAATCCTAAAAAGATAGGGTTGCATGATTAATGCCCCTCTCTGATACTCAATATTGCAAAAGTGAATATTCTTCTGTATATTTGACCCTGAAAAGCACGATTTCAGGTGTTCCAGCTGGGCACTATTCCACATATAACTGGATAATAGTGGTCTTTATTTTATTTTGCTTAAATGAAGTTTTTAATGTTTTTTCCCAAAAAGCTTTGTGCCATCTAGAGTCTCATAACATATTCAGAGCGAAATGATCCCTTTTTCTTGCATTCACACAGATAAAATTGTAGGATTTCAAATCCTGTCTTAAAGCATCGCCCAGCATTCTGTGATTCTAGTAGGCCTATTAATATTTATTTCTGCTTAGTCCTTCCTTTTTTGGATGAATACTTAAGCCCTATGTGTCTTCAAGATTTGTTTTGTAATTTCTCCTGCATCAATATCTCATTATGGAAACTTTGTGTAAGTCATGTTTCAGTATCTGGCCAAGGGAACAGATTGCTCCGAACAGGGAAGCAATTGTGACCCTAATACAAAAGTTGCCTAGAGGGCAGGGTGTTTATGATGTGTAGCAAATGCAGTATGTGTTGGCATCATTGCTAGTTCAAAATCTCTATCGTGGTGTGTGTGATAATCAGGTTGTTTCCCTCATGTTGATAAATCATTCTGATGAATAAATACGTGGGGAGGCCTAAAATACTGCTATTAAAAGAAAAGGAATTGGCTATACTGATTTAAACTAATCGGTGTTTCTGATTGTGAGAGGATTTCAATAAGCTGTGTGAGGACCTTCCTCCTAATCCTAGGGCAGCTTAATTTCTTGAAGAACCATTGCTGGTGATGCTTTTTGTAATACCTTGTAAGGTTCACTGTCCCCTATATATTAAATTTTCTGTGTGTCCACTTGTTACTTTATTTAACTAATCTACTTTCTAGGACTATGAGCCTGTTGATCTCAGATTTCCTGTACCCTACTGTCACAGAAAATTTTCTGCCTCAAGAGACCATCCTGTGATCAGATCTAGTTTTAAGCAGAAAGATAAAAGGGTTGAGCACAGGTTTACACAGCACAATTCATATTAAAAGGGTACTACAAACCAGACAGTGCACAAAATACTACACTGAAGATATCTCATCGTTTTTATCTGAGGTGAAAGAGAGGTGTCCCTTCCCTGGATCTAGCTGTCCCAACTAAAGATTTTAGTGCTTACTTAATGGAGTTTAGCTGCTGAAAAGGCTTTTCTTAAAGCTGGTGAATCTACTACCAGCAAACTCATTTGGTAAGTGGGGCTGGTGACTGCAATGAAGGAGGCTAATCTTTACCTGCAGGTGCTTGGGGAACACTTTCACAGAAGGATCAGCTGATTGACCCTGAAGGGCAACAGCTGAATTGGTGGTAGCATGGAACAGCTGGAACTGATAAGGTCTGAAGGTATTTATTTAGTGCAACGTTAGGGAACTGGTTGGCTTGCACCGGACAAACTAGCTCTGAAGTTCTCAGTGAAAAGCCAGGTAATTTATACAGTTTTCATGAGAGGTTACAACATCTTTACATACGTATTCATTTGATTTTGACATCTAATTATCATATTCATAATGGACAGGACTTTTGGGTGGTCGTTTCTGGTTTCTGTTCTTTAGCCTCACTTTGGGGGTCGCTCGCTCTTCTTCCTCTCTTGAACTTTTCAACTTTTTCTGTTCATAGACCTAGTTTTCTGGGGCTTGCAAAACCTCTTGACTCATGGCCTTCTTATCTCCTTCAGATGTCCACCTTAGCTTTATTTATGACTGCTAAGTTACTTAAAGTACATTCCTACTATCTCTTACTTCAGCAGAGCAGAACAAGCTCTCTCTTCAACATAAGCAGAACCCCTACTAGAGCATGGTACCAACTCTATCCTAGTTAATTCTTTAAAACCTTGCTCTGTTTCAGCACCACAGCTGGATGCAGAAAATGACATTTCATGGCTTACTTTTTCTAATTCTAATATGAGTGCCTCTTTTTGACTGTACTGTAACTTTCTTTTATTTCAGATGCCTTCAGTGTTTGACAAAGAACCTTTCCAGATATGCTGCAGATATTAAGTCACTGCCACCCAACATAAAGGATAAACTGATTAAATTAATGAGTAGGCAAGGGCAAATAACTGATTCAAATATCAGTGAGGTAAGAACCTATTCAAAACTATACTGTCTGTGATAGTTCATAGACAAGGATGAGCTGGACTAAAACTGTTTACATGAGATAAATTGAAAGCCTTCTTGCTCTGTCCATGTCCTTACAGTTTTATTTTTTAAACTTCATGATGTTAATAGTCCTGTGTTAGTAGTAATAAGATTATGTTTTAGTAAAAAGTAAATAAAAAATGTTCTCCCTTCAGTGATAATTGACTTTTGTGTCATCAGGTGACATATAGTATCCCTTCTTAGTATGGGAAAATAATCTGTATTTCACACCAGTCTCTGTTCCTGAATGCAGTATGTTTCAAGAAGCTTATGCATAATTTAGTAATGAAAGGATTTCAGGAACTTGTTAGAATTCTGTTAGGTTCTATTGACGTTAAGCACACAATCCCCATATAATTTATATAAATTTTGATTCTTTGAAATATGATGATGCTAAGGCTAGTTCAAATTCTCTCATCTTTTCTGCTTACTGATGTGTGCCAGTGTTTCAAAATGAAACCAGTTAATGACTTTCCTTCAGCTGTAAATTCAGGGGCACATCTGTTTCCTATCTATCTACTGTTATCTTACTCAGCCTCAAAGGGAGGTGTGAAAATTGAGGAAAGCTAAAGGTTGGCTTTGGTGAAGTAGAGAATGAATGACTCCCTGTTCATTCCTGCTTTGACTTGTAACTCAGAAGAGACAATTATTATCAATTTCTCAGAGCCAGGATAGTGAAGCCAAGACTGGAGGCAGAAGCAGAAGTACTGTGGAAAACGTACAAACAAAAAATTTTATCTTTATAATGTTCCATTTTTTTGATACTCTGCCCTTTGCTTCTCATTTAGACTTCCCTGCATCTAATAGTTCTTTTTCCTCATAAAAATTCTCATGTGGCTTCAAAATCAGCAGTTTGGTGTTTTTTGTTGTATCTTAGAGAATTCAGAACTGTGAAAGAAAGCCAACAGTCAAGGAAAGCATCTTGAAAAAATTTTGATGATCACTTTGGCTTTAAGCTGTATTTGTCTGCTTTAGTTCCTCAGATATGAATTCAGAAATATGAGTGAAATAAGGACTGAATGTTATCTTGTGAAAACTGCTCACAAGTATCTTGTGGAGCATGTTGGCAGTTTTATGCCATAAAGAGACACATAAAGGCTTATAGCATTTGGGGAGGAAAAGCTGTCAGAGCTGTCTGAGGTCTGCCATTCATTTTGCTGAAAGGTTGCAGTTGGAATCTGCTAGAAGTTTTTGTTTATTTGACCTTGTTAGTAAATATATTAGCATCTTATATTTGTGAAACAGAAGACCAGTATTCCTTGTAATATATTTATGGTACTGTGTTATAGTGAACCTGAGGAAGGAATAGGCCTTTAACAAGCCTGTCAGCTATGCTTGTGTATGGAAATTTATGCTTTTGTCCTTGGGAGTTAAGGAAGGGAATAACAAGCTGAAGGGAGTATATGGCTATCATTACTAAAATCTGAGGCCTTCCATTGCTTTGGGTCTAACTTTTCATTAATGTCCTCTTGGGGAAGATGTCACAAAAACTCCGTCCTATGGTCTTGTGAGAGTAAAAGAGCCTATTTAATGAGGATTTGGTACCTCCTCATGGTATGATAATGAGATTGGTTGTTTATGAGCAAAAGAGTGTGTCTGCAGGTGAGAAAAATACTCTGGGATATCTTTCAAATATCACTGTTATCTGTTCCAGAGGTTTAAGTTCTGATGATAATCAGTGTTTTCTTGCACCGCAGATTTCTGCCACCAAAGTTGTGCTAGTAAATATGAGGGTATTGTCCCTGGTAAACATATGTGTGCTGGTAGAAGCACTACTGCTAGCAATTGTACCATCAAGATATTATTTCCACTGTTTAAGTATCAATATTAATGTGTTCCTGCTCTGTATGTCACAGAAGCTGACCATTCATGCTGTAGGACATGAACTATTGCAGCAAATAGACCATATTTTCCCCAGAGCTTTCAGTTCCTAGGACTGGTAACCCCATCCTCTAGTGAAAAGTTCTGTGTGGTGTCTTATATTACAAGTTTTTTAGATTAAAATGCGCATGTTTGATGGCACAGCAGAGTGTGACTGCAATGATAGGTTTTCATTACAGGTACTGCACCCTGCTGTCGAGTCTCTAGACCTCCGAGACTGTGATATTTCAGATAATGCGTTACTGCAGCTTTACAACTGCAAGCAGCTGAAAAAAATCAACTTGAATTCTTGCAAGGAAAACAGATTTGGAATCACTTCAGAAGGTAGGTTATCTGTGCACAGATAACTGGGATCTTATTTCTGGTTTGTTTTTCTTGTTAGATTGGAGTGAATTGCAAAAAATATCCAGGGTAAATATTGCTTTAGAAAATCCCCAATGCCACAGCAACGCTAATTAGAAGTCTCTTCTTCGGTGTAAATTACAGGCCTAGAGCACTGATTATCTTATGAGAGAGCTATCAGGTTACTCTCATGCTAAGTTTCTGGTTTAACTATGCTATGTGGATCATATTTTCCACTTTATCTTAATTATTCCTTCCTCAAAACTTGTCCCAGAGCCTTTGGACTCAGCATGGTGGTCATGTTAAAAAAGGAATACCTCTTTCCATTGCTCTGTTTACTTTGGCAGGTGTCATAGCACTGGCCTTATCCTGCCCTTACCTGCAAGAAGCATCTTTTAAAAGGTGCTGTGATATAACTGACAGTGGAATTCTTGCTCTTGCACTCAACTGCCAATTCCTACAAATAGTGAACTTGGGCAGCTGTTCAGGCATCATGGATGCATCTCTGCAGGCACTAGGAGAAAACTGCAAGTTTCTTCACAGTGTGGACTTTTCATCTACTCAGGTAACTGTGGTGGCAATTGGCCAATTGACTGTTGTTTGTTTATTTTTTAGGATTGTCATGATAAAATTGAAAGGGGATCTTTTTAGCTCTATTCTTCACAAGATTTAGGACCACAGTTTACTTCCAATTTCCTCCTCTCAAGGAAAAGGAAAGGTATATTTTACATCTTGGTAACCAGAAAAATATATATTTTGGTATTACAGCACGTATTGTGAACCAAAGATAAAGTTTTGTTAGACTCTACTTGATATTGGAGGGTTGGGGCTTTTTTTTCGGTATCTTTATTTAGTGCATTCATTTTCAAGTTATAATGTCATCCAAAATACTTAATTTAAAGAAAGTGGAATCTTGGACCGATTATTGTCTGCTTTCAGTTAGGACAAACTGCCATGATTAATAATAATATAGGATGTCAAACAGTATAAGCCCCTAGTAAAAGTAAACACTCCATGATGAGTTCTAGTGCAAGAGTGACTGTGCTTTCTGAATGGCTTGTCAGTTATGTTATGGAGTCAACACTGAAAGAATGACATTTGAAATGTCAGAAATGGCAGGCAAGGGGATTTAAAAACAGTATTTAGCATGAGAAGAGGGAAATCAGCTGCAAAAGCAATATTGTAACATACAGTGAGATAATGAGCCAGGGAAAGGATTTTTTGCAGGAAGTGTAGTTCAGTTGAGGGTGATGGCAAATAATTATGTTGCCTGTGAGTCCAGTACTGAGCATTTGTAACGAAGTGTCAGATCTGGAAAACACATATTAGGTTCTTATTTAGATGGTCTTCTTCTTTCAATTTTTCTAGAAGTAGGGTATCAAAGGAATTTTAATATTTCATTTGGTAGTTTTAATCTTTATCATTTAACTCTTACTTCTTCAAACTTAATTACTTCTTTATTTCCTTACCTCTCTCTCCCTTTGTAGGAAATAGCTAAGTTTCCCTGTATATGTTTGAAATGAGATGAAAGCTGCTTGAGTAACTAATTGTTTCCACATTTTTTTACCTTTCTGCAGTGATTACCTTTTTTTTCCCAACCCAAGAAACTTCCTTCAATTCCTTTGAGAACGTCTGCAGTCCTGAAAACAGGAGAAAAATTGGTCTAGGTTAGAGCAGAAATGCTTTTAACCTTATAAAGGAAAAGGGCTGTGCTCTGACCATAATAGTGTACCCACTGTTAAATGAGACAGGGAAGCTGCAGAAGTAGCAGTTACACAGTTGGAAACATCCCTGTAGAAAGCCAGGCAGGATCACATGGCAGGAAAATGAAACAGTGTTTAAGAGAATGAAAAACAAACAAACAAACCAACCCTTGGATAATCTTCTCTACAAGCTTAGTTGGGAAGAAAATACTCTAATGTTAAGTGTATTCATTGGTTGCAGGGAGGGAATAAATTAATATAATTTTCCCACCCAAATAGCTGTGTTGGAAAAATTGAGCTTTAATCCATTGTGTTTTTTTCCAGGTAACAGATGATGGCGTTGTAGCACTAGTGAGTGGAACATGTTCGAAGAATTTAAAGGTAATTTACTTAACCTAGTAACAAGTGGATGAACAAAAACAAATACCTGCATTTTAAAATTATTGTTATCAGCATTACTTCTGAGGGATGGTTTTTACTGACAGACTTTTTTTGCCTTTGTTTATGTATACACTTGCTGTGATCTTGATTGTGAACTGTATATTTTCTGTATCTCTGTAGCAGTGCCCCAGACCAGTGTTTTTTGATAACCTCAGTCTTTTCAAAATGTTTCTTTCAGTTGACTATAACAAGCTTATTTTAACTGACAGCATTGGAGAGATCTATATAATAAATGCAAATGAATGCTTAACTTTTACTCTTGATTTCTTTGGAGTTATTTCTTGATTCTGTTGAACACAGAGGCAGAATTTGTAATGTGGAAAACTTCACCAGCTGAAGAAATCAATTAGCACCTCTGCATGGGTAAATGTAACAGTCTCTGCAGTTTTAATAAGGCAAAATTTAACAGTTTTGTGTGGGATGACAATTTAAAAAAAAAGTTGTGTTCTCTCAGCATAAACTTCTAAAACAGTTTCTTCTTTACTAGCAGTAAGAAAAAGAAATCTAGTAGAGAACATGAAATTATTTGCTGCAATCTCTTCTGTGTAATTCTTCTCCTTGTCTGTGTCACAGTCTTCATAACCTCTGTTTCATATCATCAAAGTGCAGATATAGTTAGTGGTGTAATGTCAGGTAGACAGTGAAAAAAGAATAGTCTTAAAATTCTCAAACTGTTACAAGCAGGTAGATTTATAAATACTTTTACTTCATTCATAGGCAGATTCCACATTTCACTTAATAAAACAAACTGAAAATTATACATATATCACTCTTGTGTATATTGCTTCTCTGAGTACAGATCTTGTTTTATGTGTCATCATTCTGTACAAAGTTGCATTTATTACAAAAGGTCTCATTCATTTCTCTGCTCTTTAAAGATCCTTAAGAGTTTTTTATTGGAAAGTCTTTTTCCAATTTATTTTTTTTATTTTTACCCCTGAATTCCCAAAGTACGTTTTACCAAGATTTGCATATTGATAGTTTCTTTTCTGCATTTCTTCTTTTATGTTATATTTAGTGATATATAAAGCAATTCAGAGGAGGAAAAAAGGTTGGTAATAATCTGTAAATTTATTGTGATTTTCTTTTTCTAGCGCAAACAAGAGGTAATAGTTATACAGCTCCAGAGAAAGGTTTTAGTCTAGTCTTGAAGAAGCTTTTAGACTTCTTTTAGGAACCATGTAGATAGATATTAGAAACTTCACCAGAGACTCATGAATCCTGCCTGTTTTGGAAAACACCAGAATTCAGTTTGGGTCCTGGACAACAAACTGCTAGGAGAGCGTGTGTCATAGGAAAAGTGATGGGACTCAAACACCATGGAATGTCATTGAAGAGTTTTCTCAGTTGTCTTGAATGATATGTGCATATTGGGAAAACTTTGATATAAGTTTTCAGTTTTGACTCTTCATAGAAAAGCTGTTTTGTTTTTCCTGAGGGTATTTTCCCAGTCCGTGTAAGACCACATACAGGGTCAGTGCACAGAGGAGTGTGAGTGGGGATCTCTCAAACTGCTTGGGCAAAGGAAAGGTCTGCCTCTAAAACTATGTGGGTGCTGTGACAGGCTTTTGTTGCTGCTATTTTCATACCAGGAGATCCACATGGAGCGCTGTGTGAACCTGACTGACGTCGCCGTGGAAGCCGTCCTTAATTGTTGTCCGAAGATACACATTTTTCTGTTCCATGGATGCCCACTGATAACAGGTAGGTCAAATCATGCAGGGAGTGAGAAGAGTAATTTCTTGCTGATAGTACCTTCTTGCTCTCTGGAAGAGCACACTATACGTTGTAAATAATCCCAAACAAATAATAACTTAGTAGATAAAATAATCATGCACTGAGATTTTTCAAAGCAGGATGAGAGTTTTGCTTTGAAATATGCAGCCTTCAGAGAGGGATTTTTTTGTTGTTGTTTTGAAAATTAGATTTATTTTTTTTTTTTAATGTCCCTTTTTCTGCCTTCAGCATGCTGATGAAGATCCAAAGACTTCAGAAAAATGTTAGCATCTCAAATCCCTACTCTATTCCAAAAGCATGGAATAGCACCCATTCAAGAAACAGTGGAATGGAGTAGGATAGCCCGTGGGTTTTTTAAGTCCTGTTGGCTGGTGATGCTTTATAGTTAGGTGATTGGAGAAAGAACCAAGTTGTTTTGGATTACTACAGGTGTCTCTGAAGTGTGATATTGTAAGAGCAAAATAAGCATAAATGCAGGTGTATAATTGAATTACTTTGCTGTGTTGTGTAGCTTATTTCTGAACACCACCTGTATATGTTCTGAATCAATAACAAGAAAGTCCTTCGTTCTTTTGCAGATCGTTCCCGAGATGTTTTAGAGGAGCTCATCATATCAAACAAAATCAAGCAAGTCACATGGACTGTTTACTGATTATTTATCCTGTACAAATGAGTGTCAAGTTTACAGATGGGAGAGCCCTTTCAGCAAGCAAGCACCTTGGAGAACCAGCTGGTGACTTTTGTACCACCAGATTGTGTCCCTCCTGGTTCCCACTGGAGGTCTCTGTTGCTATTCCAGTCCTTGCCTGTGAGTCTGGGCTTCCCCATTGTCTCTGCTTGGAGCCCTGTCTCTCTTTGCATCGCTGATGATACTTCATTAAGAGGAAAGTTAAACTGTAATTAACACTACACTGAGCCATAGCTCAGCCTCCTTGAAGTATGAGGCTTGGCTGCTCCTTGGCATCCTTTAGCAACTTAGCTACATGTACAGACCCACTTTAAGTAACTCTGAGTTTGTAGGCTGGGAAGGTACTTGCAACTAAAAGTACCAAGCCTAAACACATCATTGACACTCACACAGAAGTGTCTGTAAAGTTGGCAGTTAAATCTGACAAAAGTCATCAGACAGAACAGGTGAATGAATGGAGGTGGCATTAAGAGCAATACAAATGTATTTTTAGTAGTAACAAACAATCTCCTTTCACCATGTACTTCTGCTAGATCTGGAATGAAAAATGTAGGTACCTTTCTTCTGATGTTACTGATGCTGCAGATTTCTGGTTTTACTTACCATCAAATACTTGCTGGCTTTTTATGTATCCAAAGCTACAGTCTGTAAATGTGTGAACATAAACTTGCTTTGGAATTGTTATGGTGACTTTACAAATTTCAGAGTAGTAGCTATGACCAGTAAAAGAGTTTTGTATATGGGCAAATACTTAATTTGCTCTGGCTTTTGCCTATGTTTCTACATGAAAATCCTTTTAGGGAACAAAACATTGGTACTCATAAGCATAGCTGTGAGTGAAATAGGACCAAATTTTGTGTCTCAGTATATAAATCTCAGGATGGTAGAGTTCAGTAGAGTATGTGTTCTGCTGTATGCGGTTTATTATATATCCAGGGCCCCCCAGAAGCTGAAAATAACAATAAATGTATTGTTTAATTATAGTAATATTAAAGAAAAAAATTTTGAATTGTAGAATGAGTTTATTACATGATGGAGCAGTGGTCTCATCACAGTTACAAGTCGTGTTCATTGGCTTTCTTGAACCAGCATAATCTCTCATGAGAATTCTATGATTTCTGCATTAAACTTCTTAAAATGCTAGCAATTTTAGCATTGTACAGGGCATGGAGCACACTAGGTTGATACTCTGTATGTGGAAGTAGAAGGGTTTAGCTAGGGTGGTCTTAGATGAATCTGAGGACATTTGGAAACTTATGAGTTTAGGCAACTATGATGAATATGTTTACTTTAAAATTTAACACCTGTCATAGCCACACTTATTTTAAGTGTTGCAGAAATAAACCAGTCTTCTACTAATCTATTCAAAGTTCAAGTCAAATTGCATGGAAGATACATGTTGCAGCCAATATTAAAGGATATTATGATGTCTGACAAGGATCTCGTTCTTGTGATTATATGGTTCATGAAAGAGCAAATCTATTTAGAAAAGTTGTTCAAATGTAACTAAAAGCATAATTTTCCAACTCTAGTGCCTAAATCCCTTACTCTTGTTGCATGGAGTACCATGGCTCAGCCCAGTGATGAGAATGTTCCTGTGATCCCTGTAGGTTTGTGCTGGTATAGCTGCACCAGCACAAACCATTCTTGCAAACAGGAGTTGATTTTGCTACATTATCCACAAGCATCTGAAAGCTGTAACTGCAGCAGATCCTTGCACTGGATAGATTAATAACCTAATCTACCAAGTTTTATTCCTTTTTTTTGGCTAAGTTTATTTTTATACCCTGTGTGGTCCCTGGTATCAATCAGGGCCCATCATTCCTTTGAACTCTTGGACATCAGTTGGCAATAAATTTGTTTTGCACTATTTTTGATATTGATCCATCTAGCTGATTAGGCAGCAGCAATGAGAGGCTCAGTAATTGTGTCCAATGGGTAAAGCATTCCTCGTTTCAGGAAGGTTACCACAAAAAGACTAAGTGGAATTGAAAGTTAACTGAAGAAGGGAGGAGCCTTGGGAGGTTTCAAGTATAACTTCCTGCCCAAAGTAGGGCCAGCTCAAAGATCAGACCAGCTTAGTCCACGCTTTATCCAGCCATGTCTTGAAAAACTGAAGATACAGAGCCTTCACAACCCTTTGAGGCAACTTGTTCCACTGCTTGACTGTATTAATGCTGAAAATTTTTTTCCTTCTGTCCTGTTTGACCCTATTTTGTGTCAACACCCTTCCTCTCGCTGGTAGAGCCTGGCTGTCATCCTGATGGCCTCCTCATAGGTGTGGCCAGGCTGCTCAGACATTCCTTGAAGCCCTGTCTTTTCCAAGCTGAACAAGTCCAGTTCCCTCACTCTGTTGCTGGCATGTAACAATTCATGTTACATTACAAAGTGGTGGCCACCAGACTCCCAAGTGCAACATCCAGAAAGAAAGTTACAAATTAAGCTTATGTACAGCAGCGAGAGGTGGAAGACCACCAAGCTCTGTAATAGCACAGGACACTTAAAAAAATTGCCTGTGGGACAATACTACTGCTAACCTCACTGGCAAAGTTGTCCTTTCCCCCTTGCTAATGTAACCTTGGATTTGTCATGTTGAAGGCAAATGCAGCCTATAGTGTGTCCTTGAATGGGCTTGTAGATTTACCATGTTCCCCTACAGCCTCTTCTAAATGTGTAACTTGGTGCTTAAAAAATCTGTACAACAGGGCAACGAGTTAACACCACATTTTTAGGTTTGAAAGTTTAATGTAAGTCACTTTAAATCCTTCCCCAGTAGAACTTTTACATGTTTCTTAATTGCATAACTCTACTGGAGTATTTTTTGATTCAGGTTAAATCACAGTAATTTTCAACAAATGTTGGCAAGCACTGGGTGAAGTGGGAGAAGAACATCATGTATGTGCTTACCACTTCCTATTTCTGTATTGTTTGGATATTGTTATTGTTGCAAAATGTTGGGTGAGCACTGCAGAATATTGTTCAGGTGATTAAAGTTTGTAAGACATCTGTTTGGGTAGTTCTGGAAACTTGTTAAATTACATAACCATGTACATCTGACTGTGCTCTTAAGCCTCCTGCTTCATAAATACCATGGTTTTCTGAGTGATTACCACATACTTGTTCACACTTATAAGCTTCTACCACATAACCTGGTATTTGAATAGTTGTAAGTGCATTGTGTTGGTTGTGCAGGTATTAGTTCCCCATTGATGGTTATTCAGTAATTGACTGCTAAAGGGGACAGTTCTTGCAAGACTGCTCTGAAAACAGTGGTGGTTTCTTCAAATGGCTGCAGTTACAGCCTCTTACCTGTGGAACAATATTTTTTTGACCCTGCAGACAGTTCTTTCTTGGCAGATGTAACTGAGAATAATTCTAGAGCTTGTTGTCCAGTATCTCCTCAAGAGAAGAGCAAAATAATTATATCAGACTTTTATTCCCTGTTTTTATTTAGTTATATTCTGTTTGTCACACAAGGAAAGATTTCTTCATCACTCAGTAGCTTCCCAAGGTGATAGTTTGCCTGGTTTACCCTTGCAAAGTTCAGATATGTAGGTAATTTCACCCTACTCTCTAGATGATCAAGTTACCCCATAGCTAGTACTATTTAGGTACTTTCCACTTACTAAAAACTTCTACACTGGCTACCAGTCAAGAAGCTATTTTAGGTTTGTGTGCAACTCCTACATAATCACTCAGGCAGTTTGAAGGAAGAGTAAGCTTTTATTATAGAGGGGAAAAAGGGAGATTTAAATTAGTTACTCTGACATTCAGAAGAGATATCCAGAAAAGGAGCAAGGCACTTTGAGCATATTAAGAGCTATTAATCTCTTATGAATTAGAATTTTACGAAGGACACTGATAATTTCTCTATAAATAAGATGCAAAAGTCTGTGAAAGCAGTGCAGTAGTCTGTCAGCCATGGCCCTCTCCCCACAGCAGTGTACTGGACATCCAAAACATTTCACAGTACTGTTAGAGAGCAAGACACAAATATACATGAAAAACATCAAGCATGCAAACTCTTATGTGTGATTCATCTGTGGGTCTGCACTTCAGTGCAGGCCCCTCTGAAGACAGTTTGCATGTAGCTTTTACCTCAAATGGAGCAAAAGCCTCAGTGAGTATGACAGATCAGTTCAGTGAAGGTACAGGAATCTGCTTTACATCAACAAATAATGTACTGTGTTTAATTCCCATTTTCTTTTTACATACTCACTAAAAAGCCAACCAAGCAAGACAAAATTCCTTACAAAGCCAACTTCAAGAGTCTTCTGAGCCATTTGAGGGCTGATAACTCCAGACGATACTTGATGTTAATCCATGGTTTTCTTGTCTAGTGTACTCGGGAAGTGAATATTCTATAACTTTGTGCAAGTGACTGTGAATGCTGTGGCTTAAAAACTGATGCCTGCCAGGGTCACCAATCAGCACTTCAGTTTGCTGTATCCTGATGCACTTCCTCAGCCAGTGATGCAGACCATCAGCAAGTTGTTCATCATAAAACATATCTCCTAAAACAATGAGGTCCCAGTTGCCAGCCTCTGAATTAATGATGTTCTTAATGGTGATGGGGAAGGGATTCAGGTGGTTCAGTTCACAGTTCAGGATCATTGCCACTCCTGCAACTGAAGAAAAGTCAAAGCAAAATGAAAGTTACATTTTAGGATTCTGCCACTCAGCTCCCTTACAAATTTCCTTGACAGGTTTCAATTTCATCTCTTAAATATTTTTGTTTATCCTATCTAGGGACTTCCACAGTTTTCGTGATGGGTTAAAATCTGGCATAGAGTGATGAAATTTTATTCCCATTACACCATGACACAGGGAAGAACTATTCCTGGAATGGATACCAGTGGAAAACAATCATGGAACTGAATTAGGATATCTTACTGCCTTAATCTATGGATATACTTCTTCCCTAAAGAATGAGTAAGTACATTATGAATAAACTGAATTCATAAGTGAATTATGGAAAAGTCTGGAGGGAAAAGGCAAAATCTAGGTCCTAACATCAAAGTACAGGAAAATGCTACAGTCCTGTAGAGAAGCCAACTTGCTGTTTGCACTTGGAGTTCTCTTCCAAAGCAGCCATGATGGTGTACAGGCAACACTTGACAGAAACTTTGCTGTTTGTTCATTCTAAGGTGTTATAGAGATATACTGGTCCAAGAGAGGCTGGTACAACCCAGCCTCTAATACTGGCAAAATCCATTCCTCTTTTTAGCATTCTTAGAACTCTGTTTGGAACTTGAATTTCTCCCAAATGGAGTAAAGAAAAGTCCTTGTTAAAGGTGCTTTAAAAATTAATAAGTATCTTTACACAGAGATGAAAAGAAAAAAGCCCTTACTAGGGTCAATGTCATTAGCAAGGACTTGGGATGCCCCACTCATCACAGCAGCTATTGCTGTTGCTCCACATCCACTTCCAAGATCCAAAACCGATCGTCCCTTAACGACGCGGGGATTATCTAAAATGTACCTGAAAAAGAAAAGCTGTTAAAGCAGTGAACAAGATGATGCAAATGTCTCAAGTTTGTGTTACACTAAGAGTTCTTATACATGTAATGAAGTGTGATACCTTAATAACACTATCCCACATGTGCAGCTCTGCTGATATGAAAATCAAGAAAATCTTTCTTCCTTACTTGTTCCCCACCCTCCAAATGAAAAGAAATCCAGCCAAGTAAGCAACATTTTATTTTAATCAGCTCCTTCTGTGACAGATGAGCTTCTCTGTTAAATAGACACAAACTGCAAGGTGACTACAATGAATCAGAATGTATCAGAAATAGGAAAGTAAGGATCTGTAGAAATTAAAAACAATCTGCCTGAAGAAACATGATGTATTCACAGTGAATATTTTGCCTGCCCATCGCCCTGAAGTGCTGCTTATGCAACTGCTTGGAAGAAGAGGAATTTCTCCTCTTTCTTTTCCTGAGCCATGCAGACACATGCAAACACTTCAAGACTGCTTAGTGTTGTTCTGTTGTTCCTGAGTCGCACTGAGAAAAAGAACAGAGCTGTGGTGAGCAGAAGGAGTATCTTCAGCTAATTGCTGACACATGCCAAAAGGAATCCTGTAAAACCTCTAGGCTGGAAGTGGGGAACTGACAGAAGGCAAGCAGCAGTTATTGTTAAACACTGTGAATCATATTATGGCCATTACAGAAGATTCAGAACTTTAACAACTGCCTTGACATTCAATTGGCTGTGAAGGGGAAGGCCCTCAGTGTCAGAGAAAAGAGCCCTGGGTGAAATGAATTACTGCAAAGCTACCATAAATTTACTACCAATTTCCATAACTTCTGTTGAAGTAGAAACTGGAAAGGATACTACATTTGTGTTATATTCTGGCAGGGAGAGCAATGGCTGAGTCTTCACATGGGGCTACTGGTAAGCACAGCTTTTGCAGGGGTATTTCAATGCAGAGA